ACTGGACAATATATTCAACTTCTCACTTGACATGTACTTCCCCTCTCAGATATCTCAACTAAACATGTCTGGAATTACTGGATATCCTCCCAACACCCCCAAACCTGTTCCTTCTCTACTCTTCCCCATCTCAATAAATAGCACCTCCTTCATCCAAGAAGTACATCAGCAAGTCATTCTTCACACTTCCTACAACACCCACCTCCATCCAATCCACAACCAGGTCTTCCCATTCAAGCATTAGTAACATTAGGCTCCATCCCCACTGCCATCATCTTAACTAATCATCTAATTTGTATACCTCTTAAACAGTCTCTATAGAGCAAACACCATGATCTTACGAAAATACAAATCAGAGCATGTCACGGCCCTAATTTAAATCCTTCAGTAGCTTCCCATTGCATTTTCAGACAAAATCTAAAATCCCCAACATGGCATACAAAGACCTGGACCCTGGTCCTCTCCAAAACCACCTTGGGTCCTTCTTCCATGTGATTCATTCATGATAGTCCATAGCTCTGGACATAATTCACTTCCTGAAACTCTTCCCCACGTAGGAATTTCTCTCTTCATGACATACTCCATACCACGCCACCTTCATACCTCTGCCTTTACTTAACTCTCCTCATACTTCAGATTTCTGCTAAAATGTCAAAAAAAAAACAAGCCTTCCTTTGTCCTCCAATACAAATTGAATCAGTTATTCTCTCATAAAACCCTATGCTTTCTTCTCACGACAATTATCAAAATTGTTAACTACATTAACCTGATTAATTCTGTTTAACATTTATCTTCTACACTAGACTGTAAGTTCCATAATGCCAGAGAAATACCTGTTTTGTTCTCTGCTGTATAAATAGCACCTAGTACAGAGCCTGGCATTTAAAAAAAAAAGGCATTTAATAGTTAGGGAATAGTAACAGTTGCTGATATCTTTACTAAATCCTCCCCTCTGCTTTGTTATCTCTCAAGAACTTTTACTTACATGTTACTGGGTAGCCACAGATAATTCCTGCAAATGAGATACCATGCTTAAAGATTCTTACTGATTTATCCTGCAAGACCAGACGTACTTTACTACCTTCCTGTAAAATTAACAATAAGAATTGACACCTAGCCTAAATTCACCCTACTCTAAGCAATTACCTCTGAGAGCTACTGAGCTACTTTTACAGAACTCTGTAGTAAATTCCTGGCCTCCAATTACTGACAATGCCAACAACCCCCATGCCCATGTCAGAAAGTCCTATGCATCCAATCATATTCAAAATACCACTCCTATCCAGTCCCATAACCTCGTGATTAGACTATGTTAACAAATTTTGGATGGTGTCCTGCTCTCTACGCTCCCCATAAGTCCACTTTTCACCAAAGACACTTAGGGGAAAAAGTCTCCTACTTGACAACCCACTCTTCCCATTATCAATCAATATTAAATTCTTCTGACTAGCACTGAAGGTATACAGAGGTATATGATCCAAAAGCAGTCCTACGTTTTAGTAAACACTTGGACGGTTACATTGAATTATATGTGCTTGACAATTTGACACTGTTTCAAGCTAAAATTCACATATAGCTCTACCTCATTTCTACAGCCCGATGCTGAAATTCCACTCCTGAAACTAAATTGTTTTCGAGGAAAACCATAAAAATGGCCCACTGTAATATCCTCTCAACTTTGAGCAAGAACTAAAAAGGTGCAAGTTGTCAGCATTTTCAAACATCTATATACTTAACTAGGAAGAGATTATGATACAAAGTGTATAATATTTCAGAAAGGAAACTACACCAATAGTTTAGTTATAACATACAACATAAGTATACCCCTGAGAATGTGGGTTTTTTAAATATATATAATATATAAAACATGTATGTGCATGTAAATATATACATACATACACATACCTATACATACATACATATACAAATGATCCTCATTATTTGGAGAGTTCATATTTGTAAAGTTGCTTACTTGCTAAAATTTATTTGTATCCCCAAAATCAATAAAATATCCCAAAATCAATACAATGGCACTTTCATAGTTATTTGCAGACATGCGCATAGTGGTGAAAATTTTGAGTAAGCCAGCTGGAATCAACAAGGTATTGCTCTGCCTTGTTTCAGCTCTCACTGCTATAAACAAGGGCCCTTTTCAAGGTCTATGTAGTGTCATGTTTTTCTCATTTTTGTGTTTTTTATTGGTGATTTTGTTGTTTAAAATAGCCCCCAAGCATAGAGCCAAAGTGTTGTCCATCTAGCGTTTCTTAGTGCAAGAAGGCTATGATGTCCCTTACAGAGAAAATCTGTGTATTCACTAAGCTTCATTTAGGCATGAGTTACAGTACTGTTGACCATTAGTTCAATGTTAACAAGTCAACAATATATATTAAACAAGGTGTCTTTAAACAGAAACACACATAAAACAAGGTTATACAGTGACTGGTTGACAAAAATGCTGTAAACACAGGCTTGCGGTACCCTGACACTATTTCCCCTAGGAACAATGATTCAGTATTTGCTAAATCACTGGTCACAGCGATTTTATAGAACGTGACTACTGTGAATAATGAGAATCAAGTATGTATTTGAAGAGGGGGGCGGCAGCACTCACACCAGGTTTATTGAAGACTCAAAGACACTGCAGAGGTCATTCTGAGCAAGCTGCCTGTATTTGCAGTAGCACGGCAAAACACCTCAGGTCACAGCATCTACAGGGTCTTGCCTCTATTTAAACAACACTGACACAAAGCAAAAATGTAAAATCAACTAAGTTTGTTTTTTGATCTGTCTTTGCTTCTACCCTTTTCCCACTCAATGGTACACCTCTCCCCAATTCAGGTACTCTAAACTCTACAGTAACGCCTTTTCACAAGCACTTGCCCTAATCTTACAATTGGGCAAATGTATCTGTAAATTATTGAATGATCATTCTTGAATGTAAACCACGTTTGTGCTTAAACATCTTATCTAAATTGTAGCATTACTTATTTGGAAAGAAGAGATGATATTAAGCATATGAAATAACAATATGTTGTCAGGATCAAAAAGTAAACCGAATATAGATAATTTCGGTTGTGTGCGTGCTGAAAGTAGAAGAAATACACAAGGAACAAAGCCTAGGCCTCAGCCTTCCCTCTGGGGAAGGCCAAAAGCCTAGTTCCAGGAGCTGGGGTGTTGGGTTGGGGAAGCACCATCTTCCAAAAGAGTTTGTTCAACGCTTGCTTCCTCCTAGCACTTGATTACAGATTTTTCCAAGAGAAATGACAAATTTATGGCAAAAGTGGAACACTCTAACAGTGACATTAGTGACTGAAACATTTTTTTAATTTTTGTGTGTGTGTGCTTGAACACTCCCCTTTTGAAATTCATTTGTATTTGCATTTTCCAAAATTACTTCTTTTTTATTGAAAATGGTTTGCTCAGGGTAATGACAGGACATGCATGGAGCAGCGGTAGAAGCTACCAAAGTCTAACTTGATGAAATGTCAATGATTTCTTACTAAGTAAAAGATCCATCTGGGATTTAGTGAAATGAAGTGAGTAATATTATTCAAGCCACCCTTCAGTTATTACAACAATTCAAAAACAGAAGTACAGCATGTGAGTTAACAGCCATGTCTTCTTAAAACCTATAGCTTAATCTACGACTCAAACACTTGAAGCTAACGTATGATAAAGATCTAGGAACTTTTACAGCATGGTAAATCTGTCTATCAACACCAATTACCATACATACATTCATTATTTGACAAGCTAAAGATCCTCCTCCCACCTAAGGTTCAGCTAGGCTCATTATTAGGGGCAACGGCTTGCAAAACAATGACATCCATCCTGAATAATTCAAGATTTCTTTCTCTTTAGAATATTGTATAGACAAAAATCTTCAGGTTTTTCTTTTGTACTAATTTGCTATTGTTTATGGCATTTCAAAAAACACAAGTGGAAAAAAAAAAACACAAGTGGAATCTCAGTCTACTGTCTCCAAACCACATTAACAACTGACCCTCAGAGAACCAAAACTACTGTCTTTGATTTCTTCTCTCTTAATCTTGAAACTTAGAAGGGCAAATTATCAACAAATTATTTCCTGAGAAATTTTTAAGTATTTTTGTAATATCATTCTGCAGTTAAAAATTCAAAAGTCAGTGAAGCATGCAATGAAACAAGAGTATTTCTTACAAGCCAATTATACAAGAAATACAAAACTAAAAGTGTAGGATTTTTTTTTTAATGGAGCAAACTTTTTTGTAAGCAGACTCTCAACTGTTGACATAGTCTGATAAAGATAATGAAGGATCGAACACAAAACTTCTCAAGTGAAAGTTAACCTGCTTTCATATCGTCTTTTAAAGTCTTATCAAAGAATACACACCGAAAGGGTGTGACTAGCACCCTGCATGATAGAGAAGATTCTAAAAAACAAAGATACGTGGACTTCAAGTTTACCTGCTCCCCCAAAGCAACCTACTAACTGAATTTGGGGCAAAGTATCACCTCCATCACGCGCACGCACAGAAATAAATTGTTTTTCAACTGATGACTGAGCAGGAGCAAACCCAGGCTGAACACCCGGGGCTGCAGAGTCCTGTGCCCTGCGTCGCGAGTGGTGAGGCCAACGCTTGACACCCCTCTGAGCCACAGCGGGGAAGAGCCCCAATCCTGCTCGATCTGACCCTCTAATGAGTCACTGGTCCAATCACGACACCGCAGAACTCGCCAAGACGTTTCCTATTTATTTCTTTGCGTCAAGAAGCACTGAAAATGACAAACTCGTACTGAAAGAACTGTGCACGGGTCAGAGCTGCCGGCGGCGAGAAAAGCCGACTTAAGAGCGAGAGCCCGAGCTACTCTAAAAGCCCCCGCTGGCCCGGCAGAGGAGGCAGAAGGGGTTAGAGTGAGCCGGGAAGGCGAGGAGACAAGCGGGCGAGGACCTGGAGAAGCTACCGCCACACCCCAGCCCTCCCTCACCTGCCGGCCCGAGCCTCCCCGGGCGCCCGTACCTTCGGCCAGTGACTCCTCCAGGGTGACCTGGTAACGGCCGACCGCGAACACCCGGACCCCTACGGACGAGCTACCAGAGCCGGCCCCGGCCCCGCCGGCCCCGCCACCCGCCGCTCCACCGCCGCCGCCGCCGCCCTCCGACTTGGGCATTCGAGAGAACTTCTTCATGGTCCCGCCGGCGCGCTGGAGGGCGCGGGGCGCGCACACCGCCCGCTCCGCGGCTCCGCTGCAGCTGCCGGGCTCCCGCAGAGGGCGGTGAGGAGGGCGGGGACAGGGCGGGGCGCGAGGGGGCGGGCCCGAGTGCGAGGGCGACGCAGCCGCCTCCGCCAGTTCCCGGGCGCCTTAGCAGCCGCACCAGGACTGACCGCGAGCCCCGGAGGAGGGCGCAATGGAGAGAGATGGCGAAGGGGGCGGGGCGACCGGCCCCTCCGCGGAGTGGGCTGGTCCGCTCAGGCCGCACACTCTCTGGACAGCATCCCGCGGCACCGCTGCCGCCCCAGCCGAACCCGCGCCGCCCGCCACTCGAGGCCGTTGGCGGCGCGGCGCCCCTGCCGACCGCTCACTGAGGCCAGGCGCCCCGCGCAGGCGCGTGGCCTGCGCCGCCGGAAGTGACGGTTCCGGCTCTTGTCACGTGGAGGGGGGATGGGGGAGGCGATGGGGGGGGGGTTGGGGACGAGAACGAGGTCCGGAATCCTGGGTCTGGGGTCCTGGCCGGGAGGGTTCAGGCCTGGCTCCTGGGGTCCCGGCTTCGAGCAGGGAGGTGGCCCGGGGACCGGTTTTCGCGCTGGCTGTGCGCGGTGTCTGTCATCTCGGCCAGGAGTTGGTGTGTTACTCTGGGGGCTTAAAAATGCCAACTTTACCCCCGCTAACGGACTTCTCGCTGCATTTCTAAGCTGGTTCTCCAGAGCTTCTCCCCTGAGAATCTTCTTCCGCCCGCCCACCCCGAGCGTGGGAGGTGGGAGCAGCGCGGAACTGGAGCGGATTCCGGGAGCCCAACTTTTAAAGCCGTGGTGTCGCACTCTAACAGACGCTGGTGCTAGGGAGCGCTTTGCGGTTTATAAATGATTTAGGAGTACTTTCAGAATCTCGTGTGTGCTGTGCAATAGCCCTGTGAAGTATTCAGAGCAGGTATTAAGTCCGTTTAGAGACTTTTCATCACCTTTGGCCAAGAGAGCTTAACGGACTCGCCCAAGGTCACATGGCTGGCTTGTGATAGAACTGTGACTACAAGGGCCATCCTTTGATACTTAGTTTCATACTTTGGGCCATCCGGAAAAAGTAGGTTAGGGTCAGATGGTTGAAAAACGGCAGATTTAGGACTTTGGAAGCAAAACCAGCCATTGGTTCCCCCTTCCTCCTTTAACAAAGAGATTTGCCCATTTAAAAAAAAAAAAAAAAAAAAGACCCGTTTGCATCCATTTCATAAACTGCAGGAATCTCAACGCCTGCGGGGTGAGACAGGCAAAGTGAACGTGGTGTTAAGACTTTCGGGGTGGCAGGGTATGGGAAATCATTGAGTGTGTGTAAAGAAAGCAGCCGATTCTCAAATCCAGCCTGCTTTGCCCCCCCCCCCCCCCGGGGGATGAATACAGGCCCACTGTGGCCAAAGGTTCCGTTTCCTAAAAGAAGCCAAAAATCTGGATTTTTTTCTAATATGGCACTTTCCAGATTTTTTAAATGTAGGCCAAATAAATTGTGCCTGCGGGACTCCAGTCTGAACCTTCTATGAAAGTAGATGATGTGGTTCTATCCCCACCTCTGTTTCTTTATCCAGCTTTTTAATGAGATATGGGCAGAAACGTTAGAAAATGTGCTTAGGCAAAAGACTTTGGGCTTCAAATCTTCCGTTTTTTTCTTCCCCTCTGCTATTTCAAGAGAAGCTATTTCTGACAACATTAAAACTGTGCTCTGGATTTGGGCATCTTTGCTGCGTAACCCGCTAAGCTAAAATTCTTCGTCCAGAGACCTGACCTTTAAAAGTCCAGCTCAATGGAAGTCAGATATGCCAGATCATTGACGTGGTGTGACAATTGGGGATTTCCATTCAGAAATAAGCGGACCATTCTCTTTACTATGGGGATTCACTGTGGAGTCTCATTCCTACAATATTTGAATTATATTTTTTCAAGCCAAATAACTGAGAAATTCAGTCATTTCATACAATCTAAACTGCAATCAGCCTAACATACAAAGTTGAGGCCTAATACATATTCATCTGATGACAACACAAGAGTAAATGAAGTCTCCTGTGATCAGTTTGGGAGCCAATTTACCACAATTGCTGTGGTTTAAAAAAAAAAAAAAAACTGTGTACCCAAATAACCTGACTTCTGATATGGAAGTTGATAATTAATTTAAGGCATAGATCCTCTCTCAAAAATTATGGGTAACACTAAGCAATGTGTTCTTTAATTTTTCATCAAGCACATAATAAAAATTTGAATATTGTTTGATCTTCTCAGAATGTTAACTCCACAATATTCTATGACAAACATGTCACTAATAAGAATGCAGAAACATTGTATTACTAATAAGAAGAATGCCAAGCATTTACAAACACTATCAAAAGATGTTGATATTAACTGTCAGATTGTACCCTCCTAGCAACTTTGTGAGTCAAAATTGTGTCCATAAACCGATTTGTAGGCAGAAAATGAGATACTAATCAGTGGAAAAACTATATTGAGAATTCTAGTCTTTTAGTTTTGCACTCATTTCACTTTGGTTTCCTGTTGGAAATTAAAATCGCTAGAAGAAAAGGTATGGATAATGTACATTCTGATCATCTTAAACACTGTCATTGAGGTGACTTACAGTAAGAACACAGATATAGAATAGTCTAATAGAGATAAAAAGTTAAAATTACATTTCAGGGGTTTTTATCCAATATAAACGTCAATCTTTCTAATGTTTACAGCTGTACTGGGATTCAAATAGTTGGAAACTAGCCACATAATAAAGACTTTTATTTAAAGCAGATTGTTTCAGTTTACAAGGTTTCATGTTACAATATACTGATAAAGTCAGCAGATCATTGTAGCCAACTAAATGATTCTGAGATCCTCAAACAGGAAGGAATTTGACAATGGTGAGGAGGAGGGAGGATTATTGTTATATTTTTGTCTTCTACTGGAAAGCTATAAACCTTCTTGTTACTTTGACCCTCATCTTTTTTGCACTAAGGTGGCTCTCAAAGACATATGTGAAGTAAGAATGACTGACATGGATCAAAGTATGCTTATCCCAAAAGGCTTATTCCAGTGCCATAATTACCTTTATAAATCATCTCTTCCAATGCCTGATTGATCACTTTTCCTCAGGAGTCAATGTTTTCCTTTGATAATGTGTCTTCAATCATTATTAACCTCAATATGTTTTACTAGAAGGAAAAAATATCCTCCCTGCCTAACAGAATTACATTACACCTAGTTAAATGCCCATATCTTTGCTTTCCAAAAAAGTAAAGGTCCTGAAGTCCATTAAAAGAATATATATATATATATATATATATATATATATATATCCATTTAAAAAATGTTTTTTTAAAAAAACATCACCGATATTTAAATCCTCTGTTAAAACTACTCAACATCATTACTATGCCTGTAAAAAATGTATATACATCAAAGAAAAATCAATCTGATAGTATAGTTTAAAATACCAAGATGCTCAAAAATACTTTTAATAAGAGAAATGACTCATTTGACTTAAAATACTTTTCTGTGATAGAATTTTTCCTGTAACTTGACCATGCTTTTAAAAAAGACTGCAAGGGGCTTCCCTGGTGGCGCAGTGGTTGAGAATCTGCCTGCTAATGCAGGGGACACGGGTTGAAGCCCTGGTGTGGGAGGATCCCACATGCCGCGGAGCAACTAGGCCCGTGAGCCACAAGTACTGAGCCTGTGCGTCTGGAGCCTGTGCTCCGCAACAAGAGAGGCCGCGATAGTGAGAGGCCCGCGCACCGCGATGAAGAGTGGCCTCCGCTTGCCACAACTAGAGAAAGCCCTTGCGCAGAAACGAAGACCCAACACAACAAAAATTAATTAATTAATTAATAAACTCCTACCCCCAACATCTTCTTTAAAAAAAATAAAAAATCTACAAACAATAACTGCTGGAGAGGGTATGGAGAGAAGGGACCCCTCTTGCACTGCTGGTGGGAATGTAAATTGATACAACCACTATGGAGAACAGTATGGAGGTTCCTTAAAAAACTAAAAGTAGAACTACCATATGACCCAGCAATCCCACTACTGGGCATATACCCTGAGAAAACCATAATTCAAAATAGTCATGTACCACAATGTTCATTGCAGCACTATTTACAATAGCCAGGACATGGAAGCAACCTAAGTGTCCATCAACAGATGAATGGAGAAAGAAGACGTGGCACATATATACAATGGAATATTACTCAGCCGTAAAAAGAAACGAAATTGAGTTATTTGTAGTGAGGTGGATGGACCTAGAGACTGTCATACTGAGTGAAGTAAGTCAGAAAGAGAAAAACAAATACCGTATGCTAACACATAACACACATATATATCTTAAAAAAAAAAAATGTTCTGATGAACCTAGGGGCAGGACAGGAATAAAGATGCAGACGTAGAAAATGGACTTGAGGACACAGGGAGGGGGAAGGGTAAGCTGGGACAAAGTGAGAGAGTAGCATTGACACATACACTACCAAATGTAGAATAGATAGCTAGTGGGAAGCAGCTGCTTAGCACAGGGAGGTCAGCTGGGTGCTTTGTGACCACCTAGAGGGGTGGGATAGGGAGGGTGGGAGGGAGATGCAAGAGGGAGGGGATATGGGGATATATGTATATGTATAGCTGATTCACTTTGTTATGCAACAGAAACTAACACAACATTGTAAAGCAATTATACTCCAATAAAGATGTTAAAAAAAAAAAGAAATAGAAGCATAGAGAAATTAAGGATCCTGCCCCAAATCAATCAGATAATAAAGGTCAAAACCATGATTAGATCTTTTTTTGCCTCCACATTCTTAACCCATGCTCTATATTGCTATATTATAATAAACAATGTTTAACTAGTAAACTACTTTTGATATAAAAAAAAATTTAAAAGACTGCAAGAGGTAGGCAACTTCACCACCAAGAGAGGTACTTTGATCCCTGACCCTGCTGAATAGGTGGCGGGGG